ATTATATCTTAATTTCTAATCTTACGATTTGCTACTAATTATTACTATTTGACTTTTATCTATGATAAGTAATAATTAGAACTATTAAAGGTTTTCAACAAGTTTTATCAGTTATGGGATTGCGTATAATATGGATGCCTTAGCCGGGACTGTTTACGTAAACGTAATCATTTTGGGTGCAGCACGTTACGCTATTAATATCACTGCTGCACTTTTAGAATTCACGATCAAACGTGTTGGTCGTCGATTACTACATTGCTCAGCCGTTGGCTTTATAGTAATTACGATGGCACTTATTTTCATCGTTTACTTGTTTACGTGTATGTTTTTCTAAGAAAAAAAATTATCATTTTATGCAAATTTTGTGCTAATAATTGAAAAAGTTTTAATATTAGTTTACTTGAAAAACTGCATATTTTGCACTATATCATTTAAAATATTATGCATACAAAATTTGTTCTTGTTATTATACTTAATTTCGAGCAAAAAAAATTTTTATTTTTAGGGCCACAAATTGATGAATATAAAGCAATTGTGAAGGCTGGCGGGGAAGGTACAAACTTTATGTTTAAAGCTAATTAAAATTAATGAGATAAATACTAGTTTGAATTTAAACTTGTTTAAATTATTTATTTTAATAATAAATCTTAGAATTTATTTTTCCTTAGAACAATATTTTTTCACCATATCAAAAATATAAGTTGTTGTAATGTACGTTTGGATGTTAATTTTTGAGAACTCTAAAAAAATATGCAAAAATAAAAGTTATAAATTATGCTTGAATATGTGATAAAATTTAGGAGACCCATTAATCCATGCAGTAGTAACTTTTACGCGTTTCGCTTCCATATTAGCTGCAGCAATGTGTACAGAATTATTTGTATTGGATTCTGTACAACCAACAGAATTATTTCCAACACCTGTCAGAAGTACTGGAATTGCATTCATTCAAACTTTCAATCGTTTAGGAACTATTGTCAGTCCACTTGTATTCATTCCAGTAAGTTAAATATATTAAAACTTCATTAAATCTTCACCTTTAACCTTCACAAAGACATTGAATAATAATTTTTTTAGAGCAAACATTGGCCTCCAGCTCCATTTCTCATGATGTTCATTACTAGTTTAGCTGATTTTCTTTTATACTTTTTCTTCGTACCTGAAACTCGAGGTAAAAAACTACCAGATAATATGCCTGGTGAAGAACCTGAAAAAAAGGAGCTAATGGATGGTAAGATATCTGTTGAGGATATTCAAGCTGTTCCCCCTAGATTGAAGAATGTTCACAATATTAAATTAGATACATCATACTGATCATATACTACTTGATTTATGATAATTTATATAATTAGTTATCAATTTTATCATTTTTAATATTATGGCTTATCAGTGGTATTTTTATCCACAAACCTTTCTGGCTTTTGTACCAATTATCACTGAAATCTGTTATCAAATAGAATCTGCATTGTATTTAAAATAAATATTCTGCATTGTGCAAATTATTGTATGCCTTTTAATGACAAATTGTATCCTGAAATATCTCTCTTTTACTGTTAATACTTTGCACCATTCACATTTTTGCATGATATGCTAAATTCATGTCTTGTCAGCAGTTATCACTAAACTTGCATAATCTACTCCTGCATGTTTATATTTACTTGATTACTATGGATATAAAAATGTAAAAAGCTGCTGCAAATTGAGGCATTTCTTTAATTGTAAAAGGCTGAACTCAAGGCATTTTCCTCAGTTAAAAAGATGGTATTTGAGGCATTTTTAAGGTATTTCTCAGCTTAGGTTCTTCCCATATTTGCTTCTTAATACCAAAAACAAGTTCATCAAATGAAAAACAGTACTTACTAACACCATTAAATTAGCCAGAAATTATTTGTAAAAGCAACGTCTTGGATCCCATTACCGAACACACCATAAATTAGCCGTTTTAGCAATCAAGTATAGCCACAGCTTTAGCACAGAATCAAGGACCCAAACAAAATTCACCGTACATTTATCAATTTTTAAGAAGAGTCGGCCTTTACTACTTCAGCATCATTGAGTGCAACCTTCAGGTTCTGTTACCTAACAGTACCTACCTACACCATTAGATTAACCAAAAATTAAGCACTAGCCCTCACAGTAAATTCCTCCCAACTACAATATGCCAGTTAACAAAGGGGTCAGATGTCGTGAAGTCGTAAATCTAGGAAATAGTAACTGTCATCACCAGAAGACAAATATCAAACAATATCGGAATGTTCATGCCAGTCGTTTAACATGTAGTGATCTCGATGCTCCAGAAAAAACAGATAAACCTCAGAGATCAGATGACCAGTCCAGCTGATCTTTTTTCTACATCCATGTGACCGAAATATCTCATCAGCTTGTCATTTGTGACATTCACTCTCTGGTTTCATGAATGTGATTTATGAGCCACAACAATAGCAATAATGCTTAGCTGATTTACTGAGTTGTTTCGAATTCATAAGATGGAGAAGCACTTAAAAAAATTAATCAGCACAAACTAATAGTTGCAACAAATCTGATGGTGTCCGGATGATTATGTTTTTGTTTTTGCTTTTAATTTACCGAAGACAACTGGCAGAATCTTGAGATAATAAAGCGCGCCCCCATATTATGATAACTAAATATTAATAATAACAACAATACGAAAATACTGATTTCGTCTTATAAGGTACAGGGGAATAGCTATTATTGTTAAGCAATTAATAGATTTATTGCTTGGATCAGAAACTTGGATCAGAGATAAACTTGGATCAGAAATAGAATTGCAGAACGAAAATAATTCCGTATGGGATGACTTGGGATGGCGTCGTAACGAACTTCCATAAACGGTACATGGAGATTAGTATATCTAATTACGTCGAGGCATATATGCAGTCAATAATGCTCAAAAAACGCTCGAAAGTATCTCATTTGATGAGCACTATCGATTTTACAAAGATAAGCGAAAGAGATCAACGCGGCACAGGTACAGCCAAGGTACCAGAATACAATTCAGCCCCAGAATCAAAAGAAGATGTGGTGTTAACTATAGACATGAAAATTGTAACTTAGCTGAACTAAAACTCGAAATCATTCTCGAAATTAATGCATGAAACTTACTGTTTATAAAGTTTGTACTTGGGATTAATAGAATTGCAGTTGCAAGATAAAGGTCAATATTTTCCTGAAACCTCGTCAATGCCTCCATCTTCGGGTATCATGAGTTGTGGTACTAAAAAATGTCTTGGGTCTAAAAGA